CCATTCCCTCCGTCTTGCCCAGCCCATCTTATAAGTAATCCTTTCTGTGAAGAAAACACTCTTATTTCAATAGTCCAACGCAACGTCGCTCACTTCATGGTGTTTTTTAAATTATTCGGAGTCTAATATTTTCAAAATCCCAGTGCAATTGCAACAAACAATAAAATAGAAAAGTCGAATCACTACTCAGACGATGTACTCCATTCTCTCAAATGATCGATCATGTTATTCAGTCTTAAACGCCAGCTGATCGCCTCTCAGATTTACTTTGTACTTCAAGGTTTCTGCTGACATACTTGGTGTTAATATTACCGTAAATAAAAAATTACCGTTTTCAGACATTAGGTAATTGCGATGGAAAAAAGTAATTGAATGATCTCATCAAATAGCCTGATATCCAATATTTATATTTCAAGTACTCCTTAATGATCAGTTCGCGTGTTTAATCAGATCTGGATAGAAATTTATCGATTAGACAAGTCGTCAGTGTTATTTTTGCGTGAGAAGAAAATTTTAGGAGCTGTCATGGCATCATTGCAACAAAACGCTAAAAATTCAGAGGAAAAATCGTCAGATTCCACGTAAGTTATTACAGAACAAAAGGGTTCGTGGGTGATATTCATCTTGAACATGTCTGTTTTTGGTGACTATAAATATTTAATCAGTAATGCTTTATTGACTTTTTATTACCTTCTGGCGAATCCGTTATTTACAGACACACATCAATGGAGTCTAGTGCTGGAACAGCGTCTGAAAATGGAGTGAAGAAGAGATTTGAGAATATTAAAAAATCACCAAATGATAATAGAGTCTACAGAGGATTAATTCTCAATAATGATATGAAAGTTCTGTTAATAAGTGATTCAACCACCGATAAAAGTGCAGCGTGTTTGGATGTTAATGTTGGATTCATGAGCGATCCGGCAGAATTACCAGGTCTTGCTCATTTGTGTGAGCACATGCTCTTCCTTGGTACCGAGAAGTATCCAAATAAAAATGAGTACACCTCTTATTTATCTCAGCATGGAGGAGCTTCGAATGCCACTACACAGTTGGATCATACGACTTATTACTTCGATATTATTCCAGACAAATTAGAAGGGGCTCTCGATAGATTTTCACAATTTTTTCTCAAGCCATTGTTCACAGAGTCCATGACGGATCTCGAGATTAATGCCGTTCACTCCGAGCACGAGAAAAATATCGCTCAGGATTTCTGGAGGGCTGATCAGTTGGACAAATCCTCAGCTGATCCTCAACATCCTTATTCCAAATTTGGAACTGGTAATCGGGAAACTCTTGATGTGAATCCGAAAAAAAATGGAATCAATGTTCGTGATGAATTACTCAAGTTTCATGGAACCTGGTATTCGGCTAATATCATGGCCCTTAGTGTTCTCGGAAAAGGTAAATAGAACTGTTGTTTTTTGGATTTCTGCCCCCTTCCTGCCAAAATGACGGTTTTTGTTTTAAGCTTTTTGAGGAATTTTCTGATTGGATTGACCCGAAAAAATATAGAGGAGCGCATGGCAAATGGGGTACCCGGACAAAAAGGGATACGGCGGCGAATTAGAACACCCGCGGGAAAGGGTTTTTAATTCATTTCGATTCATTTTTTGCACCCAAAAATGTGCGAGACATTCCAAAATTGTCTCAGTGTTTTTTTTACTTTTTTATCTTTGAAAATTCTCCAAAAATGCGCCATCTAATTTAAATCGCTCATGTTTTGCTTCTCATCGTGAAATTCCTTATATGGGAATTTAACATTTTTTATCAATCAAGTACAATTAAATTCTGGAAAAACTTAAATGTTGAGTAATGGATTTTTCCCTCGTCTCCCCTTGAACCGCTTGATTCATCCCATTTTATCGGCATTCCATTTTATCCTGTGTCCCGTTTTGTTTTTTCATGTTATCACTATTTAATGGCTTCTCATGCGGTTTTTCTAGTTTTGTGAGTTTAGAAAAATACAGGAAAATACTCGCATCACCTTGAAACTTTGTGAGTCATTAAATAATGGCAAAACACAGAAACGTTATATTTTTCCCCAATTTCATCGTTAGTTTGTAAAAAAAATAATTTTGAAAGCGTCAATTTGGGTTCAATGATTGTAAAATATGATGGCTGAAAAATAAAGTAAGTTAACTCAAATCATCAATCGATTTTTCGCAAATATCTCCAATACTATAGAAAACTTTTTTGGAATATTTTTTTTTAGAAATATGTTTTCCTTTTCGTTGAATCAATCGATTAATCGAAATCATTAATCTCAATGATTTTTCAATAGAGAGTTTAAACGATCTAGAGAAGATGGTAGTGAAGATGTTCGCTGAAGTGCAAAATAAAGAAGTCGATGCCCCGGAGTGGCCAGATCATCCATTCAACGAGAATCATTATGAGCATAAATGGTTCATAGTTCCTGTCAAGGACGTGAGAACATTGAAAATGATTTTCCCACTTCCTGAGTTACGAGAGCACTATAAATCTGCTGTAAGTCCAAAAATTCCCTCGGAAAAAATTCCTCCAAATGATTAATGACTTAAATTATTGAAATGCTTAATGTAATAGCGAAGTGTTAAACTAGGATAAGTGTATTTTTTCAAAGCCAGTTTTTGGCGAATATCTTGGTAGCGAAGGAACATATCGAGCCTTTCATAAAAACATTTTTTATCGAAAACGACGGGAGCTGCAAAAAAGATATTTCTGAAAATATCATTATCTTCTTTCTATTTTCAAAAATTGGGTAAAAATTGGTCTTGAAAAAATTCACTTATCCCAGTTTAGATTTATTAACGATATTATTCGATTTTTATTCTTGTATTAATAATGAATATTGGTTTGTGTTTAGCCTGCACACTACGTCTCTCATCTCCTTGGTCACGAAGGTGATGGTTCGCTTCTATCAGCCCTGAAGAGGAAGGGCTGGTCGAATTCTCTTGTTGCTGGAAAACGAAAAGCTGCCAGAGGTGGAGTGAATTTTTTCACTGTCATTGTTGATTTAACAGAAGAGGGCGTCGATCATATCGACGATATCGTTTCTCTCATGTTCCAGTACATCAATATGCTGAAAAGTGAAGGTCCTATTCGATGGATTTTTGAGGTAAAGTATTTTCTACATTATACTCCGAATTGAATACATTAGATTAACAAATTGAATTGATAAATGCGGAAATTGTTCGTGAATGAAGTTGAAGCAATTGACTTTTATTACTCTTTACCCAGTGAATAATTATTCATTGAATGAAAATTAGAGTGTCAGTAAGTGGTGTAGGGGATTCTCTAATTTCTCTACGCCTTTTCTTTTTATTTTACCGATTAGTTTCAATTTTTAATATCAATTGATTCTCTCATTAGAAACGATTAATAAATTCTTTTATCAACAAAAAACTTGTCAGTAACACATCAGACTCGAATTTAGATTCTAAAAATGAATAAACGATTCTTTATGCATTATTAAAGAGGAGATACACCTCCTACTGATATTAACTAGCTCATTCATGGTATTCTCTCGTCTAATTAAACAGGAATGCCGACAAATAGCGCAAATGGACTTCGATTTCAGAGAAAAATCACCTCCCCGATCATACGTAAATCTGACAGTTCAAGCCCTGCAGAAGTACCCAATGGAGGAGCTTCTGACTGCCCCGTGTCTCCCTAGTGAATGGCGCCCAGATCTAATAAAACTCATAACCGATCATCTGATTCCCCAGAACATTCGAATTCACGTTGTCGGAAAGGCATTCGAGCCAATCGCCACAGAATCAGAATTCTGGTACGGTACAAAATTCAAGAAGGAGAAGATACCAGATTCCGTCATCACGAGGTGGTCAGATGACAGTCGCCACGAAGAGCTGAAGTTTCCAACTAAAAACGAGTTCATTCCGACATCCTTTGAAATAAAAACGATCGACAGAAGCAGTATTGAAAAATTCCCAGTAATAATAGAAGACAATCCTTTTATGAGAGTATGGTTCAAGCAGGACGACGAATTTCTCCTGCCCAAAGTCAACTTGACCTTCGATTTCGTCACACCTCTGGCGTATCTCGACCCAGTGAGCTACAATTTAACGGGCATGTACATCGGACTCATCAAGGACTCTCTGAATGAATATGCATACAATGCTGGTCTTGCTGGCTTGAGCTGGGAATTTACCAGCAGTAAATACGGTGTATCATTGTCTGTGGGTGGTTATCATGATAAACATAGGATTCTACTCGAAAAAATTATGGATAAAATGGTTAATTTTACGGTTGACAAGCAACGCTTTGAAATATTGAAAGAGCAATACATTCGTGGGTTGAAGAATCATGGAGCTGAACAGCCGTATCAACATGCCGTTTATTATCTGGCAGTTCTGCTTGCTGAACAAGTGTGGACCAAGGATGAACTCCTGGATGCCGCTGATGATATTACAGTGGAGAAATTAGAAGCATTTGTGCCTCAGTTATTGTCAAAAATGCATGTAGAGAGTTTGGTCCATGGGAATTTGACGAAAGCTGAGGCGTTGGAGAGTGTACGACTCGTTCAATCGAAATTAACAGCTGATCCAACGAATCGGGGTAACAGAACACTTGTACCTCTGTTACCTAAACAATTGTTGCTGTATCGGGAAATTAATCTTGAAGAAGGCTGTCATTTTCTCTATGAGGGAGAGAATCATCATCACAAGTCATCTTGCACCGAAGTTTATTATCAAAGTGGATTGCAATCAACTGATTCCGACATGCAGTTGGAGTTGCTCGTACAAATAATATCGGAGCCGTGCTTTACAGTTTTGAGAACCAAGGAACAGCTGGGGTACATCGTTTTTTGTGGAGTACGGAGGAGTAATGGGGCCCAAGGGTTGAGAGTCATTGTACAGAGCGATAGACATCCTCAGTATGTCGAGGAGAGGATAGACGCATTCATGGAGTCGATGTTGGAGCGATTGGTCGATATGCCGGATGATGAATTTAACCGGCATAAGACTTCACTTGCTGCTCAGAGGCTCGAGAAGCCCAAGATGATGATCACTTTGTCCGCGATTTTCTGGAATGAAATCTCTACCCAGCAGTATAATTTTGATCGCGTCAATATTGAAGTCGCATATCTTATGACGATTAATAAGGAGCAGATCATTAATTTCTTCAAGGTGAGTTTATGTATCATAATTTACTGAGGAATTGTGTGGATGGTATTTTTGAAGGAGGATGAGGTTCAGGAATGAAACGTTTATTCAGGGGAATTACGTTTTACCACTTGAGCGAGGCGAGCGTAAAATTTACACCTGAACAAAAAAAAAATTTTTTAATTCAATCCAATGATAATACGTGGAATAAATTTCTAATGATCCAATCCATCATTACAGAATGTGTCAAGAATTTTTTTCCATTCTTCATCATTTCTTCCTCAGAAAAAAATATTTTTGCGTTCCAAATACAATTTATTCACTCGCGTTAGAAAACCTTTTTTGGCTTTCATTCTGTTAATCCCAGTATTTGCTTTTAGCATCTATATGATCACGTCCAGGAATATTGAATAAAAAAAATGATTTTTTCAGGATATTGTTTACAACAAATCGCCATCTAGGCGCAAACTGGCAGTTCACGTGATTTCAACGGCAGAAGGTGGTGCTGGGGATGAAAAGAATATCAAGGATAACGGAGAGGAGAACAAGAAACCAGGTGCAACTACTGCTACTAAAATAACGGACGTAATTGCCTTCAAAGCCAGTCAGTCATTGTATCCATTACTGAAACCTTACAACAATATCCCGAGGAAGGGACAGCGATC